GAAGTGTCTGTGTAAGCATATGTACATACTGTATTTCTCAACCTTTGTGCAGTCCCTAATATGAGAATAGATAAAACTCCTAGGAGATTGTTTAAAAGATGGCTAACCTCAGGTCAACAATACATTGATTCCCTTTTCCTTTTTTTAAAGTGACCCTTTGCACTGGCTGAGATTTCCAGTTAGCTTCAGGAATCAAAGTCAATGTTACCTAAGCTCAGTGTATATACATTTGTGACACCCTCTGTGTTTAAGAAGAATGAGGTTTATAAAGTGATTTGTTCCGCTGTTGGTTTTTAAGCTGTGCTGGCTAGATTGCATCCTCAGGATGAAAGATGGATGGAAACTAATAGCAGGCTCAAGTGGTGTGTGCTGACAGGACTGTAGCCAAAATGGGACTGCTGTGAAACAAGAGGGAAACATCAGAATACTCAAATCTTTAAACATTAATCTTTAAATAAATCAACTCAATAACCTTGTGCAATCATAATGCCACCCATACATACCGGTAAAGGCATGTGCCTCAGAATCATACATTCCTCTACTTTCTTGCATGAACTGCTGCCTTTCTTTCAAACATTGAAGGGATAGTCATGCTGATCATTAAACAAAATAATATTTATTAGGCCAACCAGAAAGCTCAAAACATTAGCTTTCAGTGTTCACTGGTTGTTCATCAGGCAAAGATGTTTAAAAAAAAAGGGACACTTGAAGTCACAACAACCTGCAGGTTTGCATCTTTGATTTTGGATGTTACATTTTCTCCAGCCACTGAAGGCAGCATACCTGAGTTTCCCCCTTTCAATTTATCCTCATAGTGAGAAGCGTTTCAGATAGCTTAGACTGGGAGGTGATCAGCTGAACTCTCCCCATGATCTTCATAAAAGAATGAAGATTTGAACTTGAATCTCACTAGTCCTAAGATGACATTTAGAGCATGCTGGCTCATACCTCAGTTCAGTGAAAATATTCAGCCAACTCTGAAATCCAGAATACTGTCAGAGGGATCAGAAATAAAATAACCAATGCTGTCAGGATAAATCTGTGGTACAACCACACTTGAAATACCATGTATATTTCTGGTCAGGACATGCTACCATTTATAAGCTGTTTGCCAAAGGAATCTCTCTTGTATTAATTTTAAAATCAGCCTGTATTTACAGTTGATGGAGCCAACCTGTCATGCAAAAGATTAAAATAATACAAGGAATAAAAAATAATAATTTTTAGAGCAAATGACAATCGCCAATTAAACTACTGGATCTGTACACACATGTATACTGAAGATCTTCCCCAGGAGATCACTGAACTTAAACAAAATGGGGGAGGGTGAGTTGGAAGCCTTTTTTTGGACAGGGTCAGAACAGATCTCAAGTGAAGAGACTTTAAAGTAAAATACTTTCCTCAGCAAAACTGCATTCCTCCCCAACAGGAAAAAATGTTCAATTATATTTTCCCTCTGCTTATTTATATACCTGCTCCAACTCTTTTAGGTGTAAGCCTGTGATGTTCCAGCTGAAATCTGCCCTGCACTGCCTAGATTTATACCTGACACCTCGAAAAGGTTCCATGACAACAACATTTAGATACCTACGTAGGCAGTATTATGTCACTATAATAAACAGCATTTAGATACCTACGTAGGCAGCATTATAATACACAGCATCTAGAGACCATCTAAAGAAAAATCTATTTAAAGGTGTTCATGAATGTGTTTTAACAGGACCATGCCATGCCTTCATGTCCCTAATTTAAACTTCCACAGCCTGACACCATCTTACAAGAACAACTCCCATCAGCCTCCCCCAGCATGGTATGCTGGGAATCATAATCCAAACTATACAGAGAACACAAAGTTGGTGAAGGCTACTCTAATTTGATTATTCAGTACTGAACGTACTTAGGTACATATAGAGAAGGGGAGCATTTGTGGATCCATGTTTAGCCTTTGATGTGTCAAAAATATGTTGTTACGAAATTTGGGTTACTTAATGATTTAAAACAGTGATTCCCAAAATCTGGTCCTCCAGTTCCCAGAAGCCTCAGCCATCTTGACTAATTGTCTGGTTTCTGGGAGCTAAGATTCAAAACACCTGGAAGGCCAAAGTTTGGGAATCACTCATTTAAAAGAATTCCAATGTCCTCCACCTGTAAAAGGGTCTGTGGCCTCACAAAGGATGGAGACATGCTGGATTCCAAAGGAAGTATCTTTTTTTTGTGTTGCAAATGGATGTTAAATTTCCTGAACTTTGAGAATCTCCCAGTTGCCACATGACCAGAAGGAGGAAGTACCAGCCTGCAAGAAATACCCCTCCACACTATCTTAACTTAGGAGTTTATCACACGGGGGAAATCCCGTGCGGAAAAGGGGCTTTAAATTAAACAAAACCCGCAAAAGCGGGTGTTTTTTCAGACAACGTCGCTGTTAAAAGGAGGTTAATCCGAACAGAAATTAGACAAAAACTGCTTCTTTTTACTTTCGGAAGATCCCAAAAGTAATAAGAAGCAGTGTTTGTCTAATTTCCATTTGGATTAATCTCCTTTTAACAGCGTTTTCACTTTTCACACAGGGCAGAATGGAAGAAATCCCGTTCATTAAAAGCTTCTGCTTTTGCAGGGGTTTTTAACTTTAAACAGCGATTTTGCACAGGGCTCCCCGTGTGATAAATTCCTTAGAAAAACAGCAAAATGAAGGCCTATGAATAACATCTTACATTTTTATCTCCTGTTTGGTTTGTAGCATCTTGCCTGATGAAGAAGCCAGTAAAGCTTTGAATGTGTGCAACATGTATATTGTGGATTTTGGTTGGCCCAATAAAGGTATCACTATTTGGTGGATTTTTGTTGTTACTGGAATCATTTAAAAGAGTTGCTAATAATGCTTTTGGACAAGCAGAAGCAGAATGAATAACTGAGTATTACAGATACAGTGTCTGTTTTTAGTATTGTTAATCCAAAATTAACAAGTATCTTTAGTTCTGTATAAATGCAAATCATCCAATTAAATTCGGTTCATCCAATTAAGTTCAAGTCATGAAATCACTCCCATTATATTATGAAGACAATGGCCATGACTTAGCATATTCTAGACATAAGTATTCTGTGGCAACTTCTTTTGCTATAACTAAAACTGTGTAAGGTTTTTAAAACTGTATCCAGTATTGGCAACTACTAAATAAAAATGCAAAGCATACAGTATTTGACAGATGATTGTGTATTAATAAAATGAATATTCTTTCGGGGGGAAAGGGATTACCATCTCAATTTTTGAATATTACATTCCTCAGCAAAATTACATTTTTAAATGAGGTTAAAACTAGTTCAGAAATTGGGTCAGCTATCAGAAACATCTGCATGAGCAGAAGTCAAGTGGTGATAAGTGAAGAAGACTGCAGTCTATCAGACAATAATGTACTGTATTGAATTCTCAAGATGTCATAATTTATCATCTTTAAGATTTCTGGCAGACCACCAGATGGCAGCATGCTACACATAGTCAGCCCAGGGACCTGCATTTCAAATCTTATGTATGGGTCTGATAAAACTTGGTCAGTTTTTAAAAATAATTATTATAAAGGAAACCTTAGGTAGAGGGTTTTTGAGGGGGGTAGAAGTGGAGGTAGAAAAACATTTTCTTGAATGGCTCACTCTGATGGGCCTGAAACTAAACTGACAGCAGTTTGAAGGGGCAAATAGAATGTCTGCAGAATATGGAAAGCTTAAATGCCATATAGCCAGTTGCAAATTTATTCTATTTGTAAATGTGAATGTTAAATATGAAGGTGTATGCATAGTGTGCTCTTTTACAGACAAAACATAACTGGAGTTAGAACTTTGCCCTTCTCAAAGAGCAGACATATTTAAGATGTGAAAAAAATGTGGTCTTCTTGCTGACTAAATTGAAACCTTTCCTATGCAATCTTTAATATGTTTGCTCAGAAATAATCGTTGCTGAGTCCAGTGGTCTAAGGTAAGTATCTGCAGAACTCTCCCCCCTTTTTAAGGGTCTTACAATAGTCTTTGTTCTCACTACAAAAGATTTTTAAAAACTCATTCTCCTATATAAATTTTAATGAGATACCATAAGAGCTTTCATCCCATACAATAGGCTTGCTCCAAGGTCACATATCCATGGTGGATCACAGAAAGATCTTATAACCCAAAGCAGGATGCCCTGTTCCCTGGCCACTTTGAGAAAAAAAAACTATATAGTATGGATTATAAGCCATTTTTACTCTTTAGTGGTATTGTATAACATCATCAGTCTACATGGGCATGTCCATGAGAGAGCAGATCCTTTTCTCATGGTCTTTATTGTTTAAAATTAATTACAAGGGAAATGGAAGAAGAGTAGGCAAGAGAAAACACAGACTTGGTGGTGTGCAATTGTTTGAGTCACATCTGCTTACAGGCTGGGGTTCAACTGTATGTTACATTGAAGGCATTTGTTGTTGTTGTGTGCCTCCAAATCATCTTTTATGATGATCCTAAAGCAAACCTATCATAAGACGTTATCACATGGGGCAAATCTGCTGGTTAATCCACGCAAATCCCAAACAAAAACTGGATTTGTGCCTCATGTTTTCACACAACATCGCACAGAAACTGGACAGAAAGTGGACAGAAACTGGTGTTATCTGAGATCTTTTCAAATTTGGTTGTTTGGAGGAAATGCAAATGTGAAATTAAGGTAATTTTGCATTTACCATAATGTGAAAAGCAAATCGCATTTGGGAGCATTTCCTTGCTTTTTCTCATGGTTCCATGGCGAGCATTCCTCTATCTGCACATGT